CTGGAAATGCCCTGTGATGTGAAGCTTTTGCTTGATTCCCAGGGCCTGGCACACCCCTTTTGTGACTTCTCCGATGAAGCGCTGGCCGTGGTCTGAGTCGATCTCCTTTGGGATGCCCCACCATGAGAAAATATGCTCTACCAGGATCTTTGCAGTTGCACTGGCCGTGTTGTTTCGAGCTGGAAATGCTTCCACCCAGTTGGTGAAGTTATCACTGATCACCAGGCAATACTTGTTGCCATGGGCTGTTTGGGGCAGAGGGCCAATAAACTCCATCTGCAACTTGCTCCATGGCCCAGAAATCCTCTGGGGGCCCAAGAGGGCTTTGGCCGTTTTGGCATCAGGATTGTTGGCTGCACATGTCAGGCAGTTGCTGACATACCTCTCCACGTCCTCTCTCATTTCAGGCCACCACCCAACACCCTGCAGCCTCACCATGGTCTTGTCTGTACCCCAATGCCCCTGCTCATGAGCCAGGGCCACCAGCTCTGTCCGGACAAGTTCAGGCACCACCCAGACTGGGTAATCCGCCCCCTCCCTCCGTGCCAGGACCAGCCCTGAGACGTCCTTCCACACCTTGCACCCTTTGTACTCCCTGCCCTGTGCTAACTCCCGGAGCCTGGGGTCTTGTGCTTGCAAGCCCACTAGATCCACACTCTCCCAGTGCCTACTGGGCACCACGGACAGAAGGCCGTTCTCTGCAATCTTGCTGGCCTTCCACATCAGCCCTTCCTTTGCACCTTGCTTGGCTTTGGCATCTGCCTCCTTGTTCCACTTGGCTTCCTCTGTTCCCTTCTTGTGGGCCTTGACCTTAATGATCTGGGCTGGGCAGGCCCTCTGCTCCGCCAGCCTCGCAAGGTACAGCAGCTTTTTGGCATAGGTGACAGGCTTGCCATCGGCAGACTGCATGTCCCTCTCCTTCCAGAGCGGCAGCCACTCCAGCACCACACGCACCACCCAGCCCGAGTCTGAGAATATGGCCAGTGGCTGGTCTGCCGGCGTGTTCTCCAGGGCGGCCATCACAGCCACCAGCTCGGCAGCCTGGATGGAGTGCGGCAGGCACTTCCCCTTCACCACCTCCCCCGTGCCCCAGTTGACAGCGGCATAGCCCGTGTAGGGCACCCCTTCCTCGTAGTAGTTGGACCCATCTACGAACCACACAACGTAGCCTCTCTCCTTGGCCTCCTCCAGGCGGAGGTTGCTCTCAAACAGGGGTGCCCGCCGTGGCTTGGGCTCAGTAAGGGGGCCCACCGGCTCCTGCCCATCCCTCTCTCCACTGATTACCACCCTGTAGGCACCGGGCGAGGGGTCCCCAGAGATCTCCTTGTTGGTCAATGACAATGCCCAGTTGGCCATGGCCATCCTGGGGTACTGCAGGGGACCCTCATCCCTCTTCCCCAACAAGAGGTACGTCACAGGGGTGAGGGAGGTCCTCAGCAGCACTGGGGCTGACCCCACCACATATTCCCAGTGCTGCAGGGCCCAGGTCAGGGCTAAAACCTCCCTCTCATAGTCAGTGAACTGTTGCTCGACTGGAGTCAGGAGGCGCGAGGCGTGGGCAACAGGGAGCATGTTGGCACTGTGTTGCTGGCCCAAGGAGGCCTGAAGCCCCCTGCCCGTGCAGGCCAGCTGCAGAACATAGGGGCTGTCCCCCTGAGGATGTGCCAGCATGGGGGCTTGTGCCACACTCTCCTTTAAGGTCTTTACTGCCTGGTCCTGCTCTGGCCCCCATTCCCAGGGGGTGTTCTTTTTCAGGAGGTGGCAGAGGGGGGCTGCTTTTTCTGCGTAGCCTTTGATGAACTCACGGCATAGCCTCAGGAGAGACAGGAAGGACCTGAGGGTGGTGGCATCCGATGGTGCCAACATCTTCTGTATTAGCTCGACCCTCTGCTTTTCCAGTGAGCGCCCTTCCTCCCCAAGGGTCACCCCCATGAAGGAGACCTCCTTCCAGCACAGCTGGGCCTTTGTGGGGTTGATCTTGAAGCCTGTCTTCTGGACAGCCTTCAGCACCTCTGCCAGCACCTCCAGGTTCTTCTCCTTGGTCTGGGTGTGGATGAGGACATCACCAGCACAGGACAGCACGCTCTCCTGGTGGCTGAGTTGCTCCCACATCTTCGCCACGTGTGCATGGCAGATGGCAGGGGCATTGTGGAAACCCAGAGGGACTCTGGTGAAAGCAAATTGCCGTCCTTGAAGGGTGAAGGCAAATTTGTGCCAGGACTCAGGGTGCAGGGGGATGGCAAACGATGGGCTGGTCAGGTTGAGCACCGAGAACCACTTGGATCCCTGGGAGATGGCTGCCATGATGGCAGGGTACCTGACCACTGTGGAGGTCTGCAGTGGGGTGACACGGTTCAGGGCACTGAAGTCAACTGTCAGCTTCCACGTTTTCCCATCGGCTTTCTTCAGGGGCCACACCGGGGCGTTGCAGGTGCTCTGCTGCTCCACCAGCACACCCTGGTCCAGCAAGGTTTTGACTGTGTCCCACAAGCTGTCCTCAGCCTCAGCTGGGTACCAGGGCTGAGGCTGAGGAGGAGGATCTGGTCCTTTGACTACCACGGCAGCATCAATCTGCCCACAGTCCAGCTTGCTCCGTGCCCAGACCTGGGGGAACTGCTCCGTGACCCGTTTCACTCGGGGCTCCCACTCAGGGTGGACCAGGAGCTCAGGGGCTTTCACTGACATCACCCTATGGCTTGCCAGGATGACAGGCACATCAATTTGTGGGCAGTGTAGCAGTGCTTGGTTTGCCAAGTCCACCACCACTCCCATCTTTGTCAGTGCAGAGATGGCTAAAATTCCCACCTTTCCCTTTATTTCCATTTTCCCAAATTTTTCAGACCCTTTGGCAGTCCCAATTTCAAAGGGTACAGGCCCTGTGAAGGGCACTGGGGATTTTTGGCCGTCCGGCCCTGTCAGTTCAATAATTTCAGAGGTTTGGAAGATCCCGGCATTGCCGGGGGCCATATTCAGAATTGAATAAGAGGCACCAGTATCAATTAACATCACTTGTCCAAGCACCCCTCCTCCAATAGTTGTATCAACTATCGGACGCCCCCACAAATCGGTCTTAATCGGTGCCACAAAAAGGGGCGACGCAGGTGCCTGGCAGCCCTATTGCTGAGCCTTAGACCCCGGGTCAATCAGGTGGGAGCTGCTGTGCTTTTTGGCCTCATGCAGGGCCAGTTTTTGGAAGAGCTCCGCATCCGGCAAGCCATCAATGTCCTCCTGTTTCTCATATTTTATCAAGCGCTTCCTCAGCTCGGCCCGCCAAGGGTTGGACTTCTGAAACCTCATCCCTTGCTGGTTCTCCTTCCCCAAGCCCCCTTTGCTATCAAGATCTTTTCGGTTGTCTCCTTGCATTTTTCTCATCCCTGCATTTTGGAAAGGCATGGCCGAGGTTTTCCCTTTCTTCCCCCCCACCATGTACCCTGGGAATGCCTGCTTTTGCAGCTCAAAATTCTGGGTCAGGATCTGCTCCAGCTCTGACAGCGGCTTTTTGGCTGCGTCCCCACCAGCGATCACCCGCAGTGGGGGTGTCAGCCCCACCACCAGTGGCTCCTTGAATTCAGGCCTGTCAAAATCGAGGGGGGAGTCCTTTGATCCAGGCAGCCCAGCCATCTGGTAGAGCATCTTCTTACGGTTAACGTAGGCATCTGGCCGCTCCTCGGGGTTCTGCTTCTCCTGGTGGAAGAGTACTAAGGGGTTGACCTCTGGGAAGAACACCTTCAGCACGGCCAGCTGGACGTCCCTGATATCCTGGACATTGCCCATCTGCACATCCCCTGGCAGTGCTGCGAAATCATCTGGTTTCATGCACTTTCTCACAACATCTATCAGGTCACTCACGAAGTTGCCATTCTGGCACTTGGGCAGACGCTGGACCCTGGACAGCCAGTTGATGGCTGTCTCCTTTGACAGTGGCCCCAGCATCTTCCCCACTGTCTTGAGCTGCTCAGGGGTAAACCAGAGCACAGCCCTATTGGTGTCTATTGGCTGGAGTGGGATGTGACTGACTGGCTCATCGTGGGGGGTCTTTTTGTCTTTGGAAGCCTCTGCCTCCCCTGCTTGCAGCTGGCACACCTCCTCCCGCAGAGGAGCATAAGGGGATGGCCTGGTGGGGCTGTTGGCACCCCACACATCATCCTCATAATCATAGTGGGGTGGGTGCGTGTCCAGGGAGTCCTCCCCCTCCCCATTCCCGGCCTGGCTCCTCTTGCCCTTGATGGCAGCCACAATGCCCCTCGACACCCCCAGCTCTGCTTCCAGCTCCTGGATCTTGGCATGGCATACCTTGTGATCAGGGCCAGTGCCCCGGTCCCGATGGACGTCCTGCAGGACCGCCCGCACCGCGCTCTGCGCGTCGTGGGTCTCCCCAATCCACCTGCCAACCTCCTTCTTCAGCTCCTCCGTTTTCAGCTTCTCATACCCCAGCTTGTTTTCCAGCCGGGTGATCTCTACAGCACTCCGCAGAGAATCCCCACACAAACCCTGCACCTCAGCCCGCAGGTTGTCCACCTGAATTTTGAGTTCGGCCTTGTCCTGCTCCAAGGTCTGCACATTCTCAAGAGCCTCCTTCAGCAATCTAGACAACTCCCTGCCCACCATCAACAAACCCTGCAAAGCCGCTCGCTTCTTGCACTTGTTTGTGGGTTTGGGCTTTTTGTTCTCCTCCGACCAGCTCTCCCACTGCTGGCAGAGCTGCTGGTATGCCTCTGGGCCCTGGAAGGACCCCGGGGACCAAATTGCGGGGAGACACTTCTGGAGCACAAACTGCTCCAGCTTCCAGGTGCTAACGATGTCGGTCATCATGGTTGAAGGGCACGAGATCTGAGACGGCTCTGTCTCAGGGCAAAGCTACCATAACACCGGCGCCGCCGGCCCACCCTCGGAGCAAGGCTGCGACCCCGCGACCCGCCCCTCCGAAAAGCCCCCCGGGGAGACGCCGAACACGGGAGCGAGGGAAAGGGAAGGTGGGGAAGGTGGGAAAGGTGGGAAAGGGTGGCTGCGGCCGAGCCGGCAGCTGCCGCGACCCAGCAGCTCCCGGGAAGGGGACGGGGAAGGGATGCGGGAGCGGGAGAAGCAAAGCAGAGACAGAGTAAGACCCCAGTAATAAGATCTCACCAATCCTTGGCTGAATGTCCTGGCAGTCCCGGGAAGCTGAAGAGGGTCGCTGCAGAGTTCCAGCAGATTTGGCACCTTTAAGGTAAAGGTGGTCACGACGTCTCAGCCCGGTGATTTTTATAGCCATGGCAGGTCGTTGTTTTGGGACGATAACACCTATGTTTAGTTCCTCGGTGGCTTTTCCTCCTCCACGTGCTGCCTTCCCAAGGACACTTCCCTTGTCTTTCCTTATCCTCTTCAACACTGATTAGGAAACTGAAATCAAACAGCAGCACCTGCTCTGCCCCTTATCTATTTGGGGGGGTCCAGGATTAGTCACCACTCGCCCATGCTAACTTCTGCTTGCACCAAGTGTCCTGAAGAGGGAGAGCTGGAGCCTGTACTCTCAGCGTCCATTCTCCCAAATCCCCCCATGGCCCCCTCATTTGCTGCACACCCCATTAGCATCTGGGATTTGGGGGGGAGATCACACATGGGGCTCACATCTGACACCTCTAACACACACAGTTCCCTCCAAACCACCCCCAAGCACAGATCTGTTTGCCGGGGGGGGTGAAATGGCAGGAAAATTTACACAGTTCATCATTTAGATCCATTTTGGCATCTGGTCTTTAAAAGCAGCATTTTTCCATGCTACATCCCAGTTCATCGTACACTGAAATGTACCTTAAGGGCAACCCCATGACATGTCAGGAGCTTCAGCTGTGATATTGCATCAGCTGAATTACAGCTGTAAATGTGCACCTGCAAAGGCCCCCCAGCCTCATCCTACAAACCACATCTTAGCTTGGAGCAGTTTACAAAATTTGACCCACTTGTTTTGTTTTGAATTCTTTTTTTTCCTGCTGTTACACTAAGGAAAAGATTAGGGAGGGTCCTGTGGAGGGTCAGGAGTTGGACTTGGTGATCCTTGTAGGTCCCTTCCAACTCGACATATTCTGTGATTCTGTAATTCTGTGATCTGACTCAGTGAAAATGCTATCATTTTCATCACTGCTTTTACCTCTAATGAAATACTCCAGGAGCTACACCCTTCCCTGGAATAAAACCATTTCAAAAAATTAAAAATGGAAAAAAATGTTTACATGTGGCTGCTCGAATCCTAGGGAGTTTCTGTCCTGCACTTCATTATCCCCAGCAGGCCCTTATTTCTAGATACTGCCCAGCTGGACCATGTTGGACCAGATTTGGGGCTGAGCAACCTTCCCTGACCCCAAAAGTCAGCCCTTGCAGCCCCAGAAGCACATAGAGAATGCATTTTCCCCCTATTTTTCTTGCAGCTGTTTTCTCTGGCCTTAAATTTACAGCCCAGCTGCAGTTACCTCTGCTGTAACAAGGGAGTTTAACAGAGATGAAACCCCAGCCAGGTCCTGCTTCTTGATTGTAAACCCTGTTTTTCTACCCCAATGCTTTGCTCCAACCCCGCAAAACAAACACTTTGCTGCAGGAAACTCATCTCAGGGAGTAAAGAGAGAGTAAAAAATGTAACAAAGCTGGTGAAAGCACCAGGAGTGAGTGCCAGCCTGGTGAGGTGGGCAGGATGCAGGCTGGGGAAAAGAAGAGGGGCTCTTTCCCACTGGGATGGGCCCACAAGGAATTGGCTGGGCTGGGGACAGGGATGGTTGTCTTTAATGTCAAAAAAAGGATAGAATTCCCTAGAAATTGTGCAAAAGCACCAAAATTCAGCGATCCCCCCCACCTTGGCCCAGCCGTTAGCCAAACACTCGTGATTAGGAGCCACTGTACCCCCAGCAAGGTCACCAACAAATCGTGCTTGTGTGTACAGATCAGATCAACCTACACCCTTCTTTCCTCCCCTACTTTCTTCCCAGGACAGCAGCCCCAAACAATGTGGGGATGTTGTAAACAGCAGGTGTCTCCTGCACGTTCCCACAGTGCTTTGGTTTTTGTTGGCGATGTGCTGCCAGACAAAAGCATCCCCCCTTCAAAATGTTTTCTTGTAAGAGTGATACCCAGTCCTGAGAACAGTCAGTGAACATCTTCACTGCACATAAACAACAGCTTCAAAAAAAATTAAACTTAATCCCTGTTCCAGTACACACTCTATGCTTTTACATTGCACATATTCCTTTTTCTTTCCATAGGTAAAATTGCTGCAGGGAAGCATCTTTTACCATCTTTCCATAGGTAAAAGTACTGCAAGGAAGCTGCTATAATGTCTTGGGGAATCACCCCAGTGTAATATCCCCATTTTCAAGGTTGTAGTGGTGACAAAAGCCACCTCTTGGACAAACTCTTGTCCTGGCCAGGAAGCCTGAAGATGCTCCAGGTGAAAGTGAGAAAAGAGGGACACAGCCATTGCAACAGCCAGGGATATTGGGCTCATTTCACTGACTTCACCACAGAGATGAAGGCAAAATTCACTTGCAATGGCATTTCTTATATTAAGTACTCCCTGTCTTCCACCCTCTACAAAAAAAGAGGTGTATCACCCCATTCTGGGGAGGCCCCAATTTGGGAGTGATGTGAAACAAAAGGGGACAGATGAGCAGGAGGTGAGGAAGGGAGAGGCAAGTGTTGCTGCATCCCATATCAGGGGCTCAGCTCTGAAAACAAGAGCTTAAAAGCGCTGAAATAGGTTTGAAAATGCTAAAATTACTTTCTCCTGACAGGAAAGAGTTAAGGAACAATTCAGCCCACCCTAAATTTTAGCAGCTGAGCACTTTGTGGCAAGGCTTTTGCAGTTAGCAACCACCTTCGAGCAGGAAATTAATTTAAACAGAAAAGGGGAGAGGATGTGTTACATCAGCATGGAAGAATGTAGTACAAAATGGACCAACAACTAACAGTGTACAAGACACAATATAATTTCTTGTATTCTTCTGCCAGCTCAACCCTAGGGGAAATTTCTCAGTGCCCCCATGTGAGACTCCCCCTGCTGAGGAGATGCTGGGGTGTTGTAAGGACCACAAGGATCTGCACAAGAGGGACATAAAACTGAACCTCACTTGGCAGCAAAGAAGGCAGTAAATAAATAAAAATAATAAATAATTTACATTTTTTTTCCTGATCATGGAAATATTGAAGGCTACTGACACCAGCTCACCCCTTTAGTTTCCCTCTTTGAATCCTAAACCCCAAACGCTTCAAACATCTTCCTCACAAGGACATTTCAAAGCCACTCTGATATTTTATCATTTGAATGATAAAATGATGAAATTCTGCATATTTCAGAGCGCTGTCACAGCTACCAAAGCAGCACATGCCACGGGGTGGGGAGCCCCAGCAAAGTTTCCTTATTTTTGTGGTTTTTCAGCCACAAATTTGTTTGAGGTTTCTTGCTCTTGACTTCAAAGTTTTCTGTGATGCCTCGCGTCTCTGCTTTATGGCGGATTGGTCTGGTGTTCAGCATTTTCCAGAGAAAAACACCTCATGCTAAAAACTTTGCTGAAGAAAACAACCCTGCGGATCAACCTGCATCTTTTCCTTATTTTGAATGCTTTTTGATTTCAGCAGAGAGAAAAAAACAGCCAAAATTCATCCTTCCCTGCTTTTATCTTTAATGCCAAGTTCCTACATTAGTCACTTTTTAATCGCATGGAAGTAGATTAAACGAAGGAAGAATAACTGGGTGGTGAAATATGAAGAAATCATAATTAAAAATCAATGGGTTTTCTTTTTTTTTTTTTTTTAATATTCCTAGAGGGGATTTGAGGGTAACCTGTGCAGTGCTGGACGTGGGGCTCAGCGTGGAAGAAGCTGCTGTGCTGAGGCTCCAGGTGCTGCCTTGGCAGATGCTCTTTGGCAGCCGTTGGTGAGACATCTGTGCCGGGACGGGGAAGAACTTCCTGAGGTGAAGCCATCCCTTCCAGCAGGAGGTGACCGTGGGTGGAGAAGGGGACCTGGCACAAACCCCTCCGTCACTGACTCCACCACCATGGCCCGGCCGTGGCTCCATCTCTGCATCTGCCTCCAGATCCCAGGTAAGAAGGACACGTCTCTTAAGAGTTGAGGGCACCTAAAATCGTGGTGGGGCCTCTCTTCCACCCTACTCCAGCATGTGGGATGTGTTGTACAGCATCTGGATGATGGAAGTTTAAACATACAGGCATAGTATAGATCTATAGGATATTATTACCTATCGCCGCATAATTTTGGATCATGTCATTAATAACATGCTTTGGCTTTTGGTCAGCCCTGAATTGGTCAGGCTGTACAGTTACAGATGGTAACTGTAGGTCCCTTCCAGCTGAAATAGTCTGTTCTATTCTATTCTATATTCTATTCAGAGCTCAATACATAATGGTATGGACGCCACAGAGTTTATTTTTACTGCACCCTCAGTGCAGATGGACTGTAGGAAGTTGCTGATGGAGAAGTTAAAGTAGCATCTACCTATGCTGCCTGTGTAGCACGAAGGCAATAAACATCCCATAAAATTTGCTTCTAAATCATCCAAAGACTGAGTATTTCCCAAGGGCCACAGCTGGAATTGGTGCGTTACAAAACCATACCTTACAGGCAGTAATATCCTATAGATATGTACAGTGAGGAGCTCGCTGAGAAAGCCTCAATAAATGAGAGTTTGCTCTGCACACATAAAGGGAATAGAGACCATTTTTAGGGTGCTGCAAGCTGGTCTGGCCAACCATGTGCAATCACCATGATTCCCTGTGGTCCCCCACCAGGAAAGGGAACAGGGAGGTTTTGGAGGGTGAAGGTATGACTGAGGATGGGCTTTTCTGCTCTGGCTTCATCCCGGCTCACCCCACTGGAGCTTGACCACTTGTCCACTGAGCTGAGATTTTCCAGTATCCCTTCTCATCCTTTATGACTCATCTAACAGCCTCTCCAACAGCTCAAGGAGAAGCTTTTCATGAAGAGTTAAGTTTCCCAGCCAGAAAGAGTTAAGTTGCCAGCCAGACCTCAGGGCAGCCAAGGAGAGCCTGAAGCCCCTATGCCCCATGGCCACACACATTTCACCCCCTTAAAAACCACATGGGTTTGCCAGAGCAAAGTTTGTGAGAACTGCACTCTAAAATCTGAAAATTTTGTATTTTAATGATAAGGAGACATTGATATTGTCACAGAGCCAGAGAATGTGGTGAAGTGCTGCAGCTGCCGTGCAACGCCTGAATTTCAGCATTGCCATATCAGGGCTCTGCAGTGATGGGGTCATCAGTGTGGGGACAGAGGACGGCTCTGGACTTGTGTCAGTCACCAGAGCACTCTCCTCTGCCTGTCCCATTGGGAATATGGGGGACATCAGGGCCTTGTGCCACAGTGATGGCTTCTGGCGTTTATGCATCATGCCAACCCATTCCTACACCACTGGGTTTGCAGGACTGCATGAGGATGCAACAGCTACTGTAAGCAGATTGGGGATTTTGAAGGAAAAGGGACATTTTAAGGTAAAAAAAAAAAAAAGGCAAGAAACATGTATTTTTGAGGTTTTTGCACAGCTTTAAAACATGCCTGGGAAACAGACGGGGGAAGCAAGACCGTCCTTATCTTCAGAGAGCTGTTTTTCACTTGGTCTCAGAGTATCTAGAGTTTTGAAGGACTGTTTGCTGAACAGAAAGGATCACACGTTACCTGTTATCCTTCTCACAAGGACACATCCTCACTCACACACAGACACCGCTCACATCTGCCTGGGCCAAACACAACTTAGATAATTTCCAACAGAAGCTGCAAAGCCCAAACAGGGAGATGTGATACCAAACCAAAGCTTTGAACCCCACGGCTACCCCTCACTCCCTCTCCTTTCCCAACGTCTCAAAATTCCTGTAAAAATAACATTGTCTGAAACCTAATGTAAAATTGGCACATTTTGAGATGTTTTGCACATTTTTTTGGTCTTTCTTCTGCACCTGAGATGTTTATCGGCATTGCATCTGTTAGAAGAAAAACCTGGGAAATAAGTTAAGAGGTTCAAAAAAAAAATTTTATTCTTTATTAAAAAGAAGGGGGACAGAAGAGGGGCATCCACAGGAGCAGCTGGGGATGCCCTTCCTGGCACATACAGCCTCGAGGACACTCTCAAAACCATCCCTCCATCCCTTTCCCTGCCACTGACCCTCCTCCTTAGATGATTGTTTGCAGGGCAAACTCTGTAACTAGGCTTGACCCAAAAAAAGCTGCTGAACCCCAAAAGGCCTCTGAGGAAATATGGGAGCATCCTGGTAAAGCTGCTCCTGTTTCTCCCTTGTGTGATCCCCCGATCTGTGACTACTTGATTTTATTAAGCCCATAAAGAAAATCTGTACTTAGCATGGAAGAAAAATAACTAAACCCTGAGATTAGGCCTGAGATTAGAGCATGGTGCTAATAACAGCCAGGCTGTGTGTTTGATTCCTATATGTGCCTTTCAGTTAAGAGCTGGATTAGATGATCCTTGTGGATCCCTTCCAACTCAGAACATTCTGCGATTCTGTGAAAAGAAAATAATAATTGTGTATATCTGTCTCTTTTTTTCTTAGGCTTCTGTAGAAACCTACTCTTATCCCAAACTCCAGAGCATATTTTAGCCCAAACTAACAATAAAACAGAAATCCTCTGTGAGCTGAAGAAGGAGCACACCGGGCTGTACTGGTACCGCTGGAGCCAGGAGAGGCAAATCTTTGAGTTCCTGGTATTTTCCAACTTATTGGGCAAAACCACATATGGTGCAAACATCAGCCAGAACAAGTTTAGTGTCCATAGGGCGAGTGTCCACAACTCCTACAGCCTGCACATCAGCCACCTCCATGCCTTGGACAATGGCATCTATTACTGCTCCGTCTCCCAGTCCTCCCAGCTCTTCCTGGGCAGTGGGACACAGCTCAGTGTGGGTAAGCATCACCCCCAGGGTTCCAAAGTATGCCACAAGCAGCCTGTGATGAGGTCCCCTGGGTAAGGGGGGGATGAGGGTTGGAAGACTCTTCTCAATTTTGACGTGCAAGGTTGGGGCTCTGGGGTTTCTCTGAAGAGATCTATGAGAATGGATAGAGCAGAAAATACAGAAACTTTTTGGCCAGCTGCATGTGATAGTCCCTTTGCCATCAGCAGTTGCTCTGCTGTGGCCATGCCCTGAGCACTACATCGGTCCTAGTGGTTTAGGATTTCCATGAGAAGACCCTCAGCCCCTGATATTGCCATGCCATGTGTATTTCTCATCCCCTGCTGCATTTCAGATGAGAGGCTGGATGTGTGCCCTGCTCAGCTCCCAGGTCCTTCCATGCCATGGGTTCTTCCTTACCCTCCCTTCCAGTGACAACACTGAGGCCAGAGGACATCACTCCTCACATCTCTGGGGTGGGTCTGACAGCAACTTTCAAGCCCATCCTTCACGTAAACAACTGAAATGGGATTTCTTCCTCAAAGCTCCCGACCCACTATCTCTGGGGGGCTCCAACCAGAAATCAGAGCTGTCTGCAGGTGGCAACTGGGGAAGAAATGCTTTACAGACATCTGGGTCATACAGAAGCACTTTTCAGACCGTTTTCCCCTTGACCAGAGAGCAGGAGTTGATGTAGAAAAACTAATGTGTTTGAAGTAGGATTTAGTCCCTTTTTTGCAGACTTTTAGGGAGACAAATAACTTGTTTAACCAAGATATAAATAACTTATTTAACCAAAATGCAGCTATACTTCTGACCCTAAAGCAGCCCCAGTGTCCCAATTTTTCTGGGTTGTTTTTTGCAAATATCCCCTGCACCTTGAGATGCCCAAGAAATCCCTTTTGGATTCTTACCGGCTTTGAGAAAAGCTGGTTTAAGATAAAGGAGAACTGTTTTTTATCAACTGGGCATATATCTCTGTGCAAAGCATGAAAAACAGGCTTGAAATTCAGCTTGATCAAGGACACTCCAATTAAAAACTGGACAACAGCAGGTGTTCTGGGAGGATTCAGGCTTTGCTGGATGTTTTCCTCTTTTCCTTTTAGTACTCATAATAAAACAAATTGTCTTTAAGTTCCTTTTCTTTAAGCCTATTATAGTGTAAAGGAGCAGTTGTGCAGATAAATCCCGGGCCCCTGATGTCTCATCTTTCCATGTAAAAGAACGGTAGTTTCCGTAGGAATTTCCATCCTTGATAGAAGCACAAAAAAATAGTTTTGAATTTTGAATAATTGTGGTTTGAGCAGTCAGGCATAAAGCTATTTAAATACATTACTGGGATATTTTCCTGACCAACTTTACTGAGAGATGAATGTGCTCCATTGTAATTCAGATACACCGTAATAAGTCCTGCCCTCATTTTATCAGGAAAAAAATTCCCACTTTGAACAATGAACAAGATTAGAGCAATCTGAATAAGGAAAAGACCCAGATCCCTTAAAACCTCCCAGTACTACTGAAATCTCCCGCTACCCATGATTTTGTGCAATGCTGGTAAGATGCAGCTCAAAGAAGTTGGTTTTTTTTTCTCTGCCTTAGCCTTCTGCCCTTCTTTTCCTAGTTTGTTGGTTTTTTAACACCTTTACAAGCTCTTTGTAACTTCTGTGGACACCAAGAGGCTCAGGTCCCATCCCCTCTGGGTGACACAGCCCTTTGTGGGGGTCGCTGGAGGGGACTAGCTTTAAGGGCCAAAATTTCCAGCCCTTCTTGCCTCCTGTTTGGGATCTCTGCTGCACTCAGTGCCACACCGACCATCCTTTTCTTCTCCTTATCCCCCAGTTGATGTTTTGCCTCTGCCTTCAAAGACCACTCAGGCACCAGTCTCCAAAAAGCCCGTACGGTGCATAACCACATGCAAAGCTGCCAGCAAGAAAGGTATGGCACGGGATTGGCTCAGACTGCCTTGCAAGAGGGGTTTGCTGAGCTCCTGGGGGTCCCCAGGGTCCAGCAGGAGTTTGTCCTGGGGTGGGGGCAACCACAATGTCAGTCTGCAGGGGTGGGTGTCAGGGTGCACCTGTACCCACTGCTTTGGATGGAGCTGACCTCTGCCTTTAGGAGGGGTTTCCTGGGGTATACACAGGTTTAGGGGCCAGGATGTATTTCAGTTTAGGTTATCATGAGCTCAGAGGTTAGTTCCCTGCAATGCCTTCTTTACTGTGAGGGTGTTTGACCACTGGAACAGAGTGCCCAGAGGGGTTGTGGAATCTCCCTCACTGGAAATATTCAAAAGCCCTCTGGACACAGTCCTGGGCCATGTGCTCTAGGATGACCCTGCTTGAGCGGGGAGGTTGGGCCAATGACCCACTGTGGTGTCTTCCAACCTTACCCATCCTGTGATTCTGTGATGCATCTTTCAAAGAATATCTCATGTGCTCACATCTCTACCCCTCCTCTGAGGGCCTGCCTTGCTTTTCTCCCTTTCCCACCCCACACTCCATCCCCCAAAGCTGGCAGGGCAGGATGGTGCCAGGTTCTGAGTCCCCTCCTGCTCTCCAGGTCCCTGCAGCCCCCTGATCTGGATCCCTCTGGCCGCTGGTGCCCTGCTCCTCCTCCTGACCCTGATCTCCATCGCCCACCGTCTCCACCGTAAGCATCCTGCCAGCCCTGGGGGAAGATGAGGGGTGTCAGGCCCTGGGACAGCCCAGGAATGGGATGGGGAACTGGGAGGGGTGCTGGGACTGATGGGCACTGGCTCTCCCCAGGTCTGCGACGAAGGCTGTGGCTTCGCATCCACCGGCAGTAAATCCCACCGGCTCCCCCTGCCTTGGATGGGCAGGGAGAAGCTACAGACCCTCCCCTGCACGATGCTGAGCACTGCCTGGACATGACCCAGAAAGAACATTACAGGGGACAGACATGGGCTTGTACCACAAAAGAGACACTTCTTTCCTGCAACAGACCATGACTTTAACGTTTTCATCGGCACAACGTCTGGTGAAAGGACCTGTCTGGATTCTTCAGCATCCTGAGCACTTTTCACAGGGGACTGAGCAGGGCAAATGGCATAACTGGGTCTGCACAGGGGGAAGGGGGCTGCTATACCAAAGGGATTCAGATGGGCTGGGAAGGTACTGCGAGCTTTTGGGTTGCTCCCGCTAATGCTGATTGATAAGACTTTGGTAACGAACTCTTTGAGAGCAACCGGCAGGGATGGGGCGGGGGCAGGACCCTGCATAGATTGTAAAGACCCTGTGCAGGAATGTTCAATAGCAAAAGTGAATATATCACTCTGCCATTTTGCTCTGGTGTCTGGTGGCCCTGCTTGGTGAGAGACACAGTTGTGCAGCAAGCAAGGAACCATGGCCTCTGCCCAAGAACGAGTTAAAGCAGCTCCAGGGGGTAGCAGATCTGGGAGGGTGTTTTCTCCCATGGGAGACTGCAAACAGCCAAGAGTGGGAGAGGAGAGCCAGACAAAGCCATGCACACAAGGCCAAACACCTGGCACAGCCTGAAGGTCGACACCACCTGTGAGAGCAAACAGAGGCAGCCAGGGGCTGGCCCTGAGCCCAGGCACTGACCCTGAGCCCAGGCACTGACCCTGAGCCCAGCAGCACTGCACAGCCATCAGGAACTGCCCCGAGTGATGTCTGTGTGTGCTGAGCCCTGAGCAATATCCATCTGTGCTGACCCCCAGCCCTGCTGAGCCCTGAGTCCATGTGTGCTGAGTCCTGAACAGCACCCATGTGTGCTGAGCCCAAGCAATGCCCACATGTGCTGAGCCCTGAGTGGTGCCAGAATCAGGGGAGGTCACCACAGGGATGTTAGCAAGGCTCAGCTGCTGCCTAGGGCTCCAAGGCAGATGTGGGGCTGTAAATTTGGCATCTTTCTGAGCACAGGCAGTGGGCACTTGCTCTCAGCTGCACCCCCAGCCCCACATCTGCTCAAACACAGGCACCAGCACAAGGCTATGTCAGCTACAGTGAGGGCAAGGGGATGGTGGTCCAGACACCTCCTGTCCCCAGTGTGGGTGGGAAGGCCAGCAGCTAATTTTAATGCTGGAGAAGCATCAAGAATCTCCTGTCCTGCATGTTTCATGTGTCCTTACAGCTGCCCACAAGCCAAGGGCTGGTGTGACTCTAGAGTGCCCAGGGCTGGGGCTGACACAGTCTTGGGACAAGCTTGTGGGTGTAAAGCATCACAGTGGAAGAGCAGCATCCCCTCCCCTCCCACCCAGCCACCTGGAGCTGCCACTTTCTACTTTAATCATGATTTTGCTGGATAGCTTGGTCTCAAGCCTGGCTGTGGATGCTTGCCCCACATGATGCAGCAATAAAGCCAGCAGTGGACCATGCTGAGCCAGCTTTCCAAGGCTGTGACACTCACCCAAGCTCTCAGACCACCCAGATGATGGACACAGGGGACATTGGCCCCACGCCCCATCCCACCACAGATGCTGCAAGGAGGGGGCTCTGAGCATCTCTGATTCCAGTACATCAGAGTTTGTCCTCTGTGAGAGCTCAGATGAACTAAACCCTTCATTTCCTACCCTGAAAGTAGTGCACAGAGCTTCGTCCCAGCAGCAGATGTTTTTTCTGATACATATTTTTTACAAGAGAGCTGTAAGAAAACCCCTTTGAAACTTCCCACGGGCAAAGGTTTATTCTTTCAAAAACAGGGTTTTTCCCTCTGCCTGCAGCTGCTTTTGAAATCCCAGTTCTGTTTCCCACGCTTGAGGTGTCCTGACCCTTATGTCTATACCTTCCTCAGCTCTCCCACCTCTCAGCCAGCACAGGAGATGGCCTCCCATGGCCAAGCAGGCAGGGCTGGGTCTGGGCAGCAAAAGGCAGGCTGCACACCTCAATCCTCCTCTCCCACAGGAAGGTGAGCAGCCTCAGGGGTAGCCCTGGCCAGTCCACTCCTCCTTCCACCATCTCCCTGGTCAGGACATCCCCACAATGTCTGACCCTCGCTGGAACCCACCAAGACAGCACCATGCTGTCTTGATAGACTTCAGCCACTCATCCCTACTCCAGTAACACCTGCTCAAAGAATAGGGATTTACCCCTCAGCTCTCTGTCCATCCGAAGCAAAGAATTTGCTCCATGTCTGAATTCCCCAACTAGGCTTCATTATTCCTTTGTAATTTGGGGGGGAAAAAACAAACAAACAAAAAAAACCCACCCAGATGCCACATCATATGTGTGCAGTAAAAACAAGAGAGGACAGCAACAGCCAAGGATGATGCTGGGCCTGTTGAAACACAGGTTTGGGCAGTTTACCAATAGAAATGATGAAAAAAATGCTAGTAATTTCTATAATCATCAATAGGGTGTTTTAGTCAGTGAACCTGGGAGAGGTTTTAGTTGCAGGTTTCACAACTGCGAGAGCCAATGGAATAAAAACACCTCCCATTTCACAGACTTTTTCCCAGAGCATACATCAGCAAGCAACAGAAACAATAATAAAAAGATGCTTTTATGCGTGAGAAAATTAGCTCAGTCCCCTGATATCTGCACCTTCTATGCTGAGAGTACATTGATGATGCCAGTCAAGGGTCAGGGATGCCACATTATGTTGTAGCATATGGGGCAAAGGGATGCTTCCATCGTGAAAACTAATGGGAAAGTATTTCTGCGCATCTCTGCCAATGGCATAATCCCTGGATCCATGGAGAGAGAGAAAGAGAGGTGATGGCAGTGCCTGTCATGGCATCGCTTCAGCCATGATGTCCTGGCAAATGAGGGTCCCCAGTTTATTCCTTGTTTCCTTCTAAGGATGGATCAGCCTTCTCCTGTCTCCCACTGTCACCCTCCTTCCTGCAGCAAGGAACATCCATACCTGGAAGGGAAAATAATGGAATTTTATATACAACGCCAAACCCTCACTTCAGCAGTAAATAAACTATGTCATCTGAAATGACAAGAGGAGACACCACAAAATTTGGACAAAGAAGAAAGGTTTTTGCATAGGACAAGGAGGGTTTTGCAGATCTATGGGTTCAAGCATAAAACATTACCTGTGTTGTGCTCATGCCCACGAATTATTGGGCAAGAAATTGTAAAGGAGGTCAAAAATTACATGGTGCAATAGTCTGTTGTTATTATTGCTATTTCTTTTACATTGTATAGTGTGTATATCACATCTGTTCTTAGAACACACTGCATATATGTTCTATATAGAATAAATAATATATAGAAAATATATAGAGAATACAGAAAAAATATATATTCTATATTATAAAAAAATTCCAGTTACTCTCTCAATAAACAGTGCACATCTTGAGAGCATTAAAATATTCAAAGGACAAAGATACAGAGCAGAAATACAGGTATTTCAAGCATTGCAGTAAATAGTCTTCATGTTTTTGTCAAACTTCTATAAATGCATTTCTATAAAATTGCCAGTCTTTACAGAATATTTTAGTTGTTGATCTAACATTGGAAGTACTCAATTTTTTTTTTATTCTTTTAAGGTGCCTGGTCATTTTTATGTGGATGGTCTGTGTTTTTATGATGCAAAAAAGTAAATAAAATCAGGTTCAATTGAAAACATTCAATTGAAAACAAGCTAGTGATAGGAGAGTGAAGTTACCTCTGATTTTAAAGCTCTTAACATATAAAAAAATTAATTTTGCAGAGTCATAAACACAGCTGAGTGAGGCACACTAAAGAAGAGGTTGAAAAACATCTCTAACAAATGGTTAAACCTGAAATCCGTGCAAAAGGAAAGGAGATACATTATCCATGGGCGCTGTTTAAATTCCTTCAGATTTATCCTTGGCCAGAACAGCTCCGTGCAGAGTAGCCACTTATTTAATACATCCTCCTGGCAGGAGAAATGGAGCCACAGCAGGACTTTAAGCATCCAGATCAGATCTGTTAAATGGGAATTTCTAAATGTCTTTTTCTGTCACCGTGTAAAATCAGATGTTTCCCAGAAGCTGCAAATAAACCCCAAAAAAACCACTGGGGAAAAAAACTACTGTCAGGCAGCATTAAGTGCTTCTTGCCCCTGTTTTTCTGGACTTCATTGCATTTTATTCAATAAACTAAAAATAACAATGTGTTAAGTTTCTGGTTTATAGAAATCAGAAATGTTTTCTTTAATATTATTCTAATATTAATATTTAATATTATTTCTGGTTATTAAATTACATATTATTTGCTGAAATAAATAATAAATACTTGTGTATATCAATACATCTATAGTATGTGCACTCAGGGTGAGATCTGCAGCTTCTGTGGGATTATAAACAAATATTTGTTATTCCAGCATTTCTTTAACTGGAACACATATCAGACCAAGTTAAAAATAAATTTACATAAAGTGTGTATTTTGCTTCTCTACTGCTTTGCTACAGGAAAGGTAAATTTGAGTTCATACACCAGGGGTTCTTTCTCATGAAACAAAACTCATCCCTGCTTTAAATGTTTGCAAGATGACAGGAGCCTTAATATTCCTCCCGTAGATGTTCGTTTTCTTTCTGCTGAACTTCGACTTCTCATTTAGCCTTTAAGATATACATGTGCATGAAAGGGGGCTGCATCACACTTTCAAAAGAGAGAATATCATTATTACTATTTGCTCCTTCTGAGCTAGCTAATAAATTAAAACCAGATAAGAAGCACTCCAAAAAAAAAGTCCCAGTGATGACATCAGCTCAGAAGTTTTTCTCTGCCAGGTACAACATATCTGTGTGCTGTTGCAACGGGGATCTCACACAACAAACTTATTTAGTTCTTGTAGCGTAAAATCTCCAAACCCCGAAGATTAATCACCCAGCTTGCAGTCAGCATGAAGAGGAAACCTGTTCAGATGGCAAAGCCCTCTCCATCTCTTCCAGAAGCTCCTTGGAGGGCTGGGAGCCCTCAGGCAGCCCAGCTGACACAGGCACTTATGAGTTTGT